TTTGAGGGAATGTCCATATGTATGTTGATGTTCCCTAGTATGAGGGTGGGAGTTGGAAAGGGAAGACTTTGAGCCAGGCACCAAATTCATTGAGGAATAAGAGACTGTGTCCAGAAGGCTGGCTGACAACAGCCATCAGAATATTGATTGGGTGATAAATGTGAACCCCAAAAGAGATGAAGTTATTGAGTTAAGGTGGTAGAAGGAGAGCCTGGAAGTGTCAATAGGGAGCAAGGAGTATTCCAACTCCCCTACTTTGACCAATGGAATGGGGGAGGCAGGATGAGTGAAATTGCAACCAGTACTAGAAAGGGTGAGCAGGGAAGCCAAATTCATCAGAACTGAATCAGGTTTCAGTGACAGCCAGAAGATGGGAGGAATGGAAAAGAATAAAAGAATTAATGTAGGGAGTGTGTGTCTAGGTGCAACCCATATTCCACCTAGGTATGTTTAGGTGAGGCTCACAGGAAAGTATGAATAGATATCTCTAGAATCTCTCTCACCCATCCTTCTCCAAGGGACAATTAGATTCCTGCCTGGAAGGAAATATTGGCATCATGAAGCTGTATAATCTGCTCTCCTTAGAGAGGAGAAATTATCCTACAAAATTGGGCAAGTGTCCAGAAATTACGGTCCACAGACCAACTCTAGCCAGATGCCTGGTTTTCTGCAGTCTGTGAGCTAATTTTTTTTCACTTTAAAACAAAGTTTTAATATATTTGAACATAAAATATACTAACAAAATAAAGGATAAAAACCCTTCTTAGTTTACCATACAAAAACAGACAATGGATCAGATGTGACCTTCTGGCCATAGTTTGCTGAACTCTAATCCAGGGGAAGCAATTTTTTCATTCAAGCTACAATCCTGATCACTATACCTTAATAGGGAAGGAAAGCCTCAGTATCTATATTCAAGATTTTACTCTCTTCCTCCAAAAATGTCAGGTACGCAAAGACTACACATGTCAAATAGCAAATAAAACCATTTATCCAAGCCAATAGCAAACAGAAATTAGGAAAGCTATATAGCTGAGAATATACCAGACAGTACTCAGAGTGAATGAGCTTTCTCACTGGGAAAGAAAAAGAGTCCCAGATCTCTCCCAAGTAGAAATTCTCAAACATCTCTAATGTAATAAACTGGGGATAAGGACATATGTAGTCTAAGTACTGGCTCCACTATGTGTCCGTTTCTTCCCAGAGTCTTTCTCTCCCTCCAGGGACCTCTCCCTGAAGAGGACCTGGAATTGAATGTTTCTTCTCTCTAAGGTAAAAATCAGAAGACCAAGATCCTTCCTCACCCAAGTTCTTTCCAACTCTACTCCTTACTCAGGCAAAGAGCATAAAGTAATTAATCTCTATCAATGAGGAAAGTCTCATGCAAATGGTATTGAATTCCTGTTACATTAAGATGAAAACAAGTTTTTTTGCCTATGGAGCAGAAATGCCAGAGAACATGGTGGAAGGAGTGGGTAGTTTTAGAGTGGAACATTGGTGGGAGGGGGAGGGATTGAATTGAGGGGAATGGGAATAAGAACTTGGGAAGTAGGGTTTAAAGAATGTGTTTGAATGATGATATCTAGGAATTCAGAATCACTGGGATGGGGAGGGCATGACCTGGTGGGATTTCTTAATCATTGAATACATTTAGGTAGATTATCGACATCCCAAGGGGTTTGGACTCGGGGTGGAGTCCTCTCAAGATATTATATTAGGCAGCTCTGACAAGATCAGTGGGGGAAACTGATAGTATGGAATTTCTTCCCTTCTCCAGAGGACAAGTGATGTGGCTCATAGAATTGCATTCTTCTCTTATCAAAAAGGTGGCCCAAAGAAATGTTTTCCTTCTTCCCTTGGAAGGCAGAATAGGCAGCTGACCTCCTTGCAGTGGACAGAGAGTTGGCCTTAGAGCCAAAAAGACAAGAAAGTTGTGTCCCACCATTAACACGTATGGGCTGTATGATCCTGAGCAAAGTCACTTAACCTCTCAATGCTCCAGGCAATTTTCTAGGATTATTAAATTGCAGAGAAGGTGCTAACCCGCTTTGGTAGAAAGACTTTCCTCACCTGGGAGTTGCCAAACCAATGAAGTAACAGGTCTAATCCCTATCCCCATTTCCTGGAGGAGGAGGAGGAGGAGGAGGAGGAGGAGGAGGAGGAGAAGGAGGAGGAAGAGGAGGAGTAGAAAGGCAACCCATTCTACTTTCAGACAGCTCAAATTGTTATCAAGTGTAACTTTATATTGGCTGAAATCTACTTCTTTATAATTTCTATGCATTGTTCCTAGCTCTGCTACCTAGAGCAGGGGAGGGGAATCTACAACCTCGAGGTCACATGTGGCCCTCTTGGTCCTCAAGTACACCCTTTGACTGAATTCAAACTTCACAGAACAAATCCCCTTAATAAAAGGATTTGTTCTGTAAGACTTGGACTCAGTCAAAAGGCCGTACCCAAGGACCTAGAAGGCCACATATGGCTTCCGGGCTGCAGATTCCCCACCCCTGATCTAGACCAACCCCTGTAACCCCCAAGTTATCCTATTCCATTTCATCTCCTCCAACAGATTGCCCCCTCTGTCATCCCCTAGATATGTCTATCACTTATTTTCAAACTCTCCCTGTCTACCAGCTCATTACCTTCTGCCTACAAACATGCCCATGCCTCCTATCACCAAAAAACCCTCTCTCGATCCTCCTATCCCCACTATCATCCTGTATTTCTTCTAGTCTTGTTGCTAAACTCCTTAAAAAGTTCATCTACAATCAGTGCCTCTACTTTCCTCTCACTCTTTTCATAACCCCTTACAATCTGACTTCTGACTTTAGCATTCCACCAAAATTCCTCTCTTCAAAGTTACCAATGATCTCTTAGCTGCCAAATCCAATTACCTTTTCTCTCTCCTCATTGTCCTTAACTTCTCTGTAGCCTTTGACACTGTTTATCACCCCCTCCTCCTTGATACGATATTCTCTCTAGGTTTTCAGGATACCACTCTTTCCTGGTTCTCCTCCTATCTATCTGACCTCTCCTTCTCAATCTCCTTTGCTGGATCCTCTTCCAGATCATGGCTCCTCACCATAGGTGCCTCAAAGGGTTCCATACTAGGCCCCATTCTCTTCTTCCTCCATAATACTTCACTTGATGATTTCATCAGCCTCCATAGATTTAATTACCATCTCTGTTCTAACTATTCTCTATTGGTAGATTCTGACTAATCTACCAACCCTGCCCCAACCTCCTTGCTCCAGTCTCACATCACCAACTGCTTTTCAAACATCTCGGAATGGATTTCCAATAGACATCTTAAACTAAAAATGTCCAAAATAGAATTCATTATATTTCCCCTTAAACCTCCCCCACCCTACCTTCTCCATTACTGTAGAGGTTAACACTATCCTCCCAGTCCCTCAGGTTCAAAACCTAGGAGTCATCCTCAACTCCTCACTATCTCTCACCCCACCATATCCAATCCATATCCAAGGCCTCTCAATTTCACCTTTGTAGCATCTCTCCAAAGCATCCCCCTCTCTCCCCTGACACTTGTACACTCTCGTACAGGCCCTCATCACCTAGTGCTTGGAGTATTGCAACAGCTTGCTGGTGAGTCTGCCTGACTCGAGTGCCATGTACTCCATGCCATTCTCCATTTAGTCAGTGAAGTGATTTTCCTAAAGCACAGGTCCAGCTGGATCATACTCCCACTTAATAAACTCTAGTGGCTCCCTATCACTTCCAGGATCTGATACAAAACACTTTGTTTGGCATTCGAAGTCCTTTGTAACTTCACTCCCTCCTATCTTTCCAGTCTTTTTATGCCTAATTCCCCCACACATACTCTGCAGTCCAGGAACACTGACCTCTTGCCCCTTCCACTTCCTCTCTGGCTCTGACCATTTTCTCTATCCCCCATTTGTGGAATGCTCTCCCTTCTCAACTCTACCTATTGGCTTACCTAACCTCTAAGTCCCAGCTCAAATTCCATCTTTTACAGGAAGCCTTTCCCAACCCCTCTTAATTCTAGTGCTTTCCTGTTAATCATTTCCTATTTAATTATACATGTTTGTATATTTTTGTTTGCTTATTGTCTCCCACGTTAAATTGTAAGCTCCTTGAAGGCAAGAGCTGTCTTTTGCCTCTTTTTGTATTTCCAGTGCTTAGCACAGCACCTAGCACATAGTAGGTGCTTAATAAATGTTTATTGATTGATTGATTGCTTGAGAAAGCACAACTGAAAAGCCTAATCCATCTCTTCTTTATGACAACCATTCAGATATATGAAGATTACAAGTTAAAAACACATTTCAAAGCCAGATATAAAGTAAAATTTGAAACTAATTTGCCATTTTGCATTCTCCATGCTTCAACTCTTCTCCATTAGTAATAATAACATATATATATCATATATGTATATATCATGATTTAAAGTTTATAAATTGCGCAGCATATATTCTCTCAGATGAAATAAATAAAATTTTCAAAGAAGTTAAAATATAAAGAAGTTTGGGAACTGGACGACTACTTTTCAGTCATATTGTAGAGAGAATTCCCTCTTGGGCATAGATTGGGAAGAGTTTGGTCTAGATTCAAGCTCTGAATTTCTATAAGTCTTTGATTCTATTGTCTGGTGTACGTGCTAATTATTACTGTCCTTGGCCTTCACCTGTTAAAGAATGCTATTTCCCTCTGGCTTTAAACTAGTATTAGCGTCTTGGTAAGTGGATTTTAGATTGTTGTGTGAGTCATCTCTCCCTCTACCAAACTGTGTTGGATCTAATCTGCCGCGGCACTTGAAAGAGCAAAATCTCCACCCCAACACCTCCCCTTCCATTCTAAAGGGTTGTTCACTAGAAGGGAGCAATCGATACATTTTGATCTCCATGTAGTTCATTCAGGAGGTGGAGACCTCAAAAAACTAGAACAAGGAACTTAAAACAAGAGTTAAATACTGGGACCGGGTTCAGGATCAGCCATTTGAGAAGTCTGACTTGTCAGGCATCATGAAGATACTGATTCTTCTGGGGACTATCTTCCTCCCTGTGGCAGTCCATGGCAAAGTCATGGAAAGATGTGAGTTAGCAAGAATCCTCAAGAAGTATGGCATGGATGGTTACAATAGTATCAGCCTGGCCGACTGTAAGTCTACTGTTCTGAAGATCTCCACAAATACTAGGAGAGACAGGGAGGTGGGGGGTTAGCAGTTTCAGAGGAATGCATCATTACTTATTGTCCTTGTTTTAAAATTTATTTGGGTGTTAATATAACTTGAAATAGAACTACACAGTTTAAAAATATCAACCAGATCACCTAGAAATTGAAATTTGAAGGAGTAAGGTTTTAGGGGTGGGGGAAGGGGATTCATTTCTTAAAGGCTTCAGATAGGATCTATTGTGTTCTTCAGGATTCACCAAATTGAATGAGCTAGTTTATCTCCCCATAGACCTGCACAATTTGAATCTCAAATTTTCTACTAGATCCTTAGCTCCAGCTGCCTCCAGTTCAATACTTAGGTACTAAAGCCTTCCAGTATTGTTGAATTTGGGGGCATTCTTTGACACAATGTGTGGAATTTGAGAAGGTGGTATCTTTCAGAAGAGAGTTCAAGTTTTTTGGACAAGATCAAGAAATTTTGACAAAAAAAACCTTCTGCCTTTGTGTGCAGTACATTGGAAGTGTCCCTTCATTCCAATGTAGAGGGGGCCCAAGCTGGAGGTGACCTGCTCTTGTCTAATAGTATCATTACATGGACACCCATAATATCTATGTATGGATAGAGAATCAATTTCAGGAGCCCATCCCTATCTTTATTTTTTTGTTTTGTTTTGTTTGCTTTTTGGTGAGGCAATTGAAGTTAAGTGACTTGCCCAGGGTCACACAGCTAGTAAATGTCAAGTGTATGAGGTCAGATTTGAACTCAGGTCCTCTTGACTCCAAGACTGGAGCTCTATCCACTGCGACGCCTAGTTGCCCCCCATCTATATCTTTAAACCTCAACATTTAAGAGAAGGACCATTGATTTAACTACTGAAACTAACTTGAAATTGAAACAGTAGCAAGAAAAAGGGACCATTAAACCCCTCGTTAGGAATGAACCCTTTGCTCTTGGTGAAGCATAGTCCCTAAAAATGGGGGAGGGGGTGTAGCAAACAGTATGGATTTTGTTGTGTTTGTGGGGTCTTACAGATCTACAACTAAAAGAGACTCTGGAGCTCATTCATTACAACCCCTTCATTTTTTACAGATGAGGAAACTGAAGCCTCACTAGGTTAAGTGAGTTGTCATAAGGCACTACTTACAAGTAGTTTGAGTTTTGGCTGGATGTGGCTTCAAGACAGAAGGAACTTAAAGATATAATTGTGCCATAGGCTCAGTATCTAGGCAGAGTCCTAATAGTTATTAAAAAAACAAAATTTCAACACTTAATAAGTGTGAGACACTGGGGACATAAAGATGACAAAAAAAATTAGTTTCCTTCCTCAAGAAGCTTACAATTAGACTGAAAGGACATGACTTATATCCAAATAAGAACATTAGAAGATAAAATGTGTCCATTGAGGGAAAAAAGAGATCCAGACAAAGGACTTTAGGGCCAATTTGAGGAAAGGAAGAACATATTCATCTGGAGGAGAAGAAGGCATTCCAGAGGAGGGGTCACCAACAATGTCAGGGGCTCCAGCAAGGTCAGTGAGAACACACACTGAGAAAGGGTCACTAGGTTTGGTCTCTAAGAAACCAATACCCCTTGGAGGGGAAGCTTCAGCAGAGGGAGTGGCAGAGTCAGAATACAGATTGTATGGGGTGGAGGAGTACAGTGAGTGGTGAGGAGGTACAGACAACATAAAACATAGATTCAAAGTGGGAGAAATTTAGACATAGTTTAATGCAACCCTTTCATTTTTCAGTGGAGGAAACTGAGGCCAAGAGCAATTAAGTGTTGTGAAAGGCAGTATGGTGCCCAAAATCAAATCCTTGCTGAACTTGGGTTGTGTGAACCTGGGCCATTCAATTCACCTCAACAAGTATTTATGAAGCATTTTCTTTGGGCAAGGTACTGGGGATACAGAAATGAAAAGCAGCCTCTACTCTCAAGGAGCTTCCATTCTATTAGGGAAAAGCAAGTCACTTAACCTCTGACCCTCAGTTAGTTCATCTTTGAGATGAGGGGATTGGTCTAGATGATCTTTAAAGGGCAACCCATTTCCCAATCTGTGATCTTACCAAGTGACTTGCCCATAGCCACTGTAAATGTTTTATAAAAGTCATTCAATCATCATAGAGAGTTTTATAGAACTTAAATGAATATTTTTATCAGATGATTGGGCAAAGAGTTTGCTTGACTGCACTGTTTGGGGATATGATGTGTGTGTGTGTGTGTGTATGTGTGTGTGTGTGTATGTGTGTGTTTTAAAGAATTCTCATATTGATCTATTAGAGGCAGCATCTCAAAATGAATAGAGAGCTGGCCTCAAGGTCAGGAAGACCCTGGGTTCAATTCCCACCTCTAACCCACGTTGATTTTGTGACTTTGGGCAAGTTGGCGTCTCAAAGACTGTAAAATCCACAGCAGATGCCGGTCTGCATTATTTGAGACAGCTCCCCAAGTTTTTACTATAGCTGCCTGTCACATTGACCTTGATGATGAACAATGGGAAATATAAGGTCACAAGGCAAAACAATGGACAATACAGAGCAATGTTTCAACTGCTACAATAGGGAATTTAAAAGTTCAAAGAAATTGAACATTTTCTACAAACCTGTTTGATTTCCTCCTTACAAGTAAAATGAAGCCAAGTAGATGGATCATTAATGGCACGGATCACTTTTTTCCAAAGTGAAGTCTACAATGGTTGATAAAAACAGAGAATACTATTCATTCTAAGACAACAGTATAAGTATTTCTCAGTAGGTTTCACACGATTTTAAACTGTAAGGGACCAAAGAGTTTAGTTCCACTCATTTGACAAATGAGGAAAAAAGCCCAGAATGTTGAAGTAATTTGACCAAAGTCATACAGGAAGTAAATGACAGAGCTAGGATTCAAACCCAGTGTGCATGTGTGTGTGTGTGTGTGTGTGTGTGTGTGTGTGTGTGTGTGTGTGTGTGTACAGTAGTACATAAACAGCATAGTATATTCTTATAAGACAAGAATATAGTGAAAATACATACAGTAAATAAAATGTTTTTGTTTCTCTGACTTGCCCAAGACTCCCTTTATACTGATGGAGGAAATGGATATGCCCCTACTATAAGAAAGTGCAAATAAGAACTATAGACTAAGGAATTAGTGGCTCATTAACAAAAGAATCTTTCTATGAAAGAATTCTCCTAGCTCCTTAAATATGATTGTACATATTAAACTCATTTACTAGGGAATGAGAGATACCTCAAATTAAAGTGTTACTAGCTAATGAATATTAAAGATCAGTCACAACTAAAAGTAATGTATTCAAAAATAAATAATGCATTTGTTTAATATGTCAGTGATAACAGAGGATTACATCTATTCTGTTATCTTGGTCATACTGGATAAATAAATTGGATATGAATTGGTCATTATTAAAATGAACTCTTCACAGGGGTGTGCTTGGCAAAGTGGGCGAGCAATTATAACACAAAAGCTAAATACCGCAACGATGTAGATGGAGGCACTGATTATGGGATATTTCAGATCAACAGTTTCTACTGGTGCAATGATGGCAGGACACCTGGAGCTATGAATGGATGCGGCATGTCATGCACAGGTTAGAGGAATCTCATGGATTTGGGTGGGCAAAAACACTGCTCAGCAAGGTAGATAGATAGCTAATGCAGCTATGTAAATAAAAATACACAGAGGTAAAAAAAAAAAAAAAGTTTAGAGGACCAATAAGAAAATCCTTACTTCTCATTAATTTTCCCAGTCCCCAACTTAAGATTCCCAAACAAAGAATGTGGTGTTTTCTTAGGAAGATATTATTTCTTGGTCATGTTGATTATTATTACATTGTTAGTCATAAGGAATGGGCAGGATTCTTTGATTTCTTTTTTAAATTTTGAGATACCTAAATTAGATTCCACCAATAAGTTCCCTGGAATTCTTGTTATTTCAGGCTGATCCTGAATGTTCTATCCACTCTATTAATGTTTGACTTTTAAAAAAAGATGTCCCATATCCTGCTGTCAGCATAGCTGGCTTATTAATCTAAGCATTTCATATTTCTTTAAGTGTTTTGTCATCATCAAATAAATTACTAAGAGTACATAGATGTCTCAAATATTGACCTGTCATTACTGTTTGCATTCTGTCTGATCAGAACTCAATGATAATAGATCTTACCCCACTCCTGTTTGTTATAAATAAAATCATAAGTTCTTAACAACTGATGGTTCTAAAAATGGCATATAAAAGTTTGTCTTGTATTTTTAGTGCTTTTTTTATAAAGTTGTCTCTACACCTTTGTTCCAAGCATGATATAGTAACTCATTTATATGTTAAAGTTGTTGTTAATCCTTCTTTCTCCAAGAGGACCATGACATCAAGAAGGTGATGCCATGACATGCAAGTTAATTGGATTTAAGTGAGGGAGGGTTGTGTAAAGTTACCAGCCTCACTTTCTCCTCCAGAGCCATCTGGGTCCAGTGGCCAGATATAGATAAGGAAGACTGGAGATGGCCCAGGATGCTGTAGGAGACCTTGGCCTTTTTAAACTAATGTCTTTCCCAGGTTTCAGTTTGGCCTCCTACTCCTTTATTTTATAGATGAATGAATGAAGCACTTATTAAAGGCTTACTATGTGCTAAGTAAGTACTGGGGATACAAAGAAAAACAGATAGTCCTTGACCTCAAAGAGCTCACATTCTTTCTAACTGGGGGAGTCAGCACATATGGAAAGTTTGGAACAGTTGCAAAGTCCTTGATGTTAATGCCCCTTCATTAATGTCATTTCCACTGGTAAGATATCAATTTCTGATGCTGAACCATTTGACAGTGCCAAATTTGTTCTAATGAGGAAACTGAAGCTGACTTAAACTTTAAGTGATTGGCCTGCAGAGGCAGGATTTGAACCCTGGTCTTCCTTTCTCCCAAGTCCAGCCCTCTATCCACTGAACCACCTATGTCTTCCTTATCTCCTCAGTTAAAATATAGAGCGTTTACTAGCAGTGTGACCCTGAGCAAGTAACTTAACTTCTACTTGACCATAGACTCATAAAATTAAAGCCAGGAAAAACCTTTCTCAACCATTTCAGCCAATCCCCTTATTTTAACAGATAAGAAGCTGAGTCACTGAAAGGTCAGGGAATTTATCCAAGATCATGGGGGAATTAGTTGCAGAGGCCGTATTTATCTCCTGGTCCAAAAAGTCACAGCTTTTTCCAGTATATCAGATTTGTGTTTGGTCAAAAGTAATGACATTCTCATTAATGTGGATTTTTTTTTTTGAACAGTAGAAGTCCAGAGTAGGTGAAAGAGATGGTCTACAGGTATTTTTATCTCAAAAAAGCAGTCCACAAATTGAAAAACATTGAGAATACAGTTAAAGACAAAAAGTCAACATATATCAGATGCATAAAGAAGTTACTTGAATGATGAAAAACATTTGCTTCCACTAAGAGAAGACATTTTTATTCCATGAATTCCCTGTGCCACTAGGTTAATGTGATTTCATGTTCCTGCCCAAAATCTGGAACATATTAATCCTGTCTTATACTTTTCTTCCTCCAAACACACTTTTATGTAATATATTTACTAGCAGAACTACATAGCACAAGACAATTCAGTTAAATTCAATAAGTATTTATTAAAAACAGAACAAAACTACTATGTGCCAAGCTCTATACCATCAGTGGGGATATAATGACAACAATATGACTATGCTTTCCCCTCAGGGAGGTTACATTCTAAGGCCCTCACCGTTAGGTAAGTAAAACTCTTTCCCAGTTCCACCCTGCAGGCTGACTTTCATGTCTCCAATCTCAACTCTCCCCTGTATGGGGAGGTGTTTCTTCAAACTGTGGGAAGGGAGGGGCAGAGCCAAGATGGTGGAGTAAAGGCAGGGACTCACCTGAGCTCTCCCCTAAACCCCTCCAAATACCTGTAAAAAATGACTCTGGACAAATCCTAGAGCAGCAGAACCCACAAAAAGACAGAGTGAAACAAATTTCCAGCCGAAGACAACCTGGAAGGTTGGCGAGAAGGGGCTGTCACACCTGCCTGAAAGTAAAGCTCAGTCCAACACAGCCCTAGCCCCAATAAACCAGGAGTAGGCCTTGGGAGCGACTGAATCACCAGCGCCAGTGGCTACTTCCAGAGTTCTCAGCCCACAGATGTTAAGGGGGTTGAACAAGTGGTCAGAAGGAGATTACAGGGGTCTCTTTGCTAGCACTGAGGCAGCACTCTGCAGCTTTGCCCATACTCTGATCTGCGTCCCAGTCTTGGGTGGCAATCCCAGGGAAAGGAGGAGCACTAGCATAGCAGAGTTTGCAGCCACAGTGGAGGGAGGATCCTCCTCACAATTCCAGTGCAGAAAAGAGTGCTTGTGGACACTCACAGACCAGAGCCCAAAGCAATAAACACCTCTCCTTAGATCATATCACCTTGGAAGAACTGAAAACTTACAGGTCCCTAGGAGTCTGTCTGAAAACAGCTGCACAAAACCCTGATGCTTGGGACAGTACTCCCTCCAACCTGGAAGCAGAGCCCTACTTTAACAAACAGTTAAAAGTCAAGTAATAAGCTGGGAAAATGAGCAAACAATGGGGAAAAAAACTGACTATAGAAAGTTATTATTGTGACAAGGAAGATAAAAACACATACCACCTTGGAAGAACTGAATATTTGCAGGTTCCTAGAAGTAGCTCTGAAAATAGCTGCATAAAACCCCTGAAGCTTGGGACAGTACACCCTCCACACTAGAAGCTGATGCCTACCTTAACAAAGAGTTAAAAAGTCAAGTAATTGGCTAGGAACATGAGCCAACAGCAGAAAAACTCAGGCTATAGAATCTTACTTTGGTGACAAAGAAGATCAAAACATACAACCAGAAGAAGACAACAGAATCAAAACTCCTACATCCAAAGCCTCCAAGAAAAATATGAATTGGTTTCAGGCCATGGAAAGGCTCAAAAAGGATTTTGAAAAGCAAGTAAGAAAAGCAAAGGAAAAATTGGGAAGATAAATGAGAGTGATACAAGAAAATCATTAAAAACAAGTCCTCTCTAAAGGAGACCCCAAAAAATACTGAAGAAAATAACACCTTAAAAAATAAACTAACCCAAATGACAAAAGAGATCCAAAATGCCAAATGAGGAGAAGAATGCCTTAAAAAGCAGAATTAACCAAACTGAAAAAGAGGTCCAATAGCTCAGTGAAGAACATAATTCCTGTCTCATGACAGAAAAAGCTATCCATATCCAAAGAAAGAACTACAGAGTTTGAATGCAGATCGAGGCATACTAGTTTTTCTTTTTTTTCCTTTTGTTTCCTCTTTCTTGTGGTTCCTTCTATTGGTTCTAATCCTTCCTTACAGCATGACTAATGTGAAAATAAGTTTAATAGGAATGTATATGCATAGCCTATATCAGATTGTGCACCGCCTTGGGGAGGGAGGTGAGAAGGAAGGAGGAGAAAAATTTAAAACTCAAAAGCTTATGGAAGTGATTGTTGATAAATCAAAACAAATTAATAAAAAAAATTTTTTTTAAAAAGAAAAGAATTCCTTAAAAATTAGAATGGAGCAAATGGAAACTAATGACTCTATGAGAAATCAAGAAATTATAAAACAAAACCAAAACAATGAAAAAATAGAAGACAATGTGAAATATCTCATTGGAAAAACAACTGACCCGGAAAATAGATCCAGGAGAGATAATTTAAAAATTATTGGACTACCTGAAACCATGATGAAAAAAAGAGCCTAGACATCATCTTTCAAGAAATTATCAAAGAAAACTGTCTTGATATTCGAGAACCAGAGGGTAAAATAGAAACTGAAAGAATCCACTGATCACCTCCTAAAAGGATCCCAAAAGGAAAACTCCTAGGAATATTATAGCCAAATTCCAGAGTTCCCAGGTCAAGGAGAAAATATGGTAAGCAGCCAGAAAAAAACAATTCAAGTATTGTGGAAACACAATCAGGATAACACAAGATTTAGCAGCTTCCACATTAAGGGACCAGAGGGCTTGGAATATAATACTCCAGAGGTCAAAGGAGATAGGATTACAACCAAGAATCACCTACCCAGCAAGACTGAGTATAATCCTTCTGGGGTGGGGGCAGTAAAATGGACATTCAATGAAATAGAGGACTTTCAAGCATTCTTGATGAAAAGACCAGAGCTGAACAGAAAATTTGACTTTCAAATACAAGATTCAAGATAAGTATGAAAAGGTAAACAGGAAAGAGAAATCATAAGAGACTTAGTAAAGTTGAACTGTTTACATTCCCACATGGAAAGATAATATTTGTAACCCATGAGACCTTTCTCAGTATTAAGGTAGTTAGAGGGAATATATACATAGACAGAGGGCACAGGGTGAGTTGAATATGAAGGGATGATATCTAAAAAATAAAATTAAGTTGTGAGAGAGAATTTTACCTCAAGAAGGAGAAAAGAAGAGGTAGAATGGGGTAAATTATCTCACATAAAAGAGGCAAGAAAAAGCTTTTATAGTGAAGGGGAAGAGGGTGGAGGTGAGAGGGAATGAGTGAATCTTACTCTCATTAGATTTGGCTTAAGGAGGGAACAACATACACACTCAAATGGTATGGGAATCTATCTTACTCTACAGGAAAATAGGGGGAAAGGGGATAAGAGAAGGGAGGATGATAGAAGGAGGGCAGAATGGGGGAGGGGGTAATCAGAAACACTTTTGAGGAGGGACAGGGTCAAGAGAAAGAATAGAAAAAATGGGGGGGATAGGATGGAGGGAAATATAGTTAGTCTTTCACAACATGTTTATTATGGAAGTGTTTTGTATGACTATATATGTATAACCTATATAAAATCACTTGCCTTTTCAATGAGGGTGGGTGAGAAAGGAGGAAGGGAGAGAATTTGGAACTCAAAGTTTTAAAAACAAATGTTAAAAATTGTTTTTACATACAACTGGGAAATAATATATACAGGCAAAGGGGTATAGAAATCTATCCTGCCTTACAGGAAAATAGCAGGGGAAGGGGATAAGAGAAGGGGGAGGGGTGATAGAAGGGAGAGCAGATTAAGGGAAGGGGTATTCAGAATGCACACTATTTTGGTGTAGGGGAAGGAGAGAGATGGGGAGAAAATTTAGAACTCAAAATCTTGAGGAAGTGAATGTTGAAAACTAAAAATAAATAAATTAATTAATAAAGAAATAGTACCTACTAATCTGAAAAAAAAAGAAAAAGCTTTCACAGTGGAGGGAAAGAGAGGAGAGGTGAGGAGAGTGAGTGAAACTTACTCTCATCAGAATTGGCTCAAAAAGGGAATAACATACACACAAAATTGGGTATAAAACTCTATCTTACCCTACAGAAAAGTAGAGGCTAAGAGTAGGGAATAAGGGGGGGGTGATAGAAGGGAGGGCAGATTGGGGGAGGTAGTAGTCAGAAAAGTAAAGGATAAGAGTAGGGGATAAGGGGAGTGATAGAAGGGAGGGCAGATTGGGGGAGGTAGTAGTCAGAAGCAAAATACTTTTGAGAAGGGACAGGGTGAAAGGAGAAAGAGAATAGAATAAACGGGGGTGGGGGGGAGTGTGATGGAGAGAAATAGCAATTGTAACTGTGAAAAAAATTTTGAAGCAAATTTCTTTGATAAAGGCCTCATTTCTCAAACATATAGAGACCTGAGTCACATAAAATTTATAAAAGTCATATAAAAGTTATAAAAATAAGAGCCATTCCCCAGTTGATTAATGATCAAAAGATATAATCAGGTTTCAGATGAAGTAAGCAAAGCTATTTATAGTCATATGAAAAAATATTCTAACTCACTATTGATTGGAGAAATGCAAATTAAAAAACTCTGAGGTGCTACCTCATACCCATAGATTGGCTAATAGGACAGAAAAGAAAAATGACAAATGTTGGAAGAAATGTGGGGAAAATGAGACATTAATGCATTGTTGGTGAAGTTCTGAACTAATTCAATCATTCTGTAGAGCAATTTGGAATTATGGCCAAAGGGCTATAAAATCATGCATATCCTTTGACCTAGTAATACCCCTATTAGGTCTGCATTCCAAAAGAGATGAAAAAAAAAGGAAAAGGACCTATATGTACAAAAATATTTATAGCAGCTCTTTTCTGGGGGCAAATAATTAGAAATTGAGGAGAAGCCTATCAATTTGGGAATGGCTGAATAGATTATGGTATGTGATTATGATGGAATACTATTGTACCATAAGAAATGATGAGCATGATGCTCTCAGAAGAACCTGGAAAGACTTACTTGGGCTGATACAAAGTGAAATGTACTGTGTACAAGGTAACAGCTGTGAATGACTTAACTCTTCTCAGCAATACAACAATCCAAGACAACTCTGAAGGTCTTAAGATGAAAAACGCTATCCATCCCCAGAGAAGGAACTGATGGTGTCTGAATACAGATTGAAGCATAGTTTTTTTTTAACTTTCCTTTTTTTCTTGAGGTTTTTTTTTATCTATGTTTTCTTTAACAACATGACTATTATGGATATGTTTTGCATGACTATACATGTATAACCTATATAAAATTACTTGCCTTCTCATTTGAAGAGAGGGAAGGGAGGAAGGGGGAGAATTTGGAACTCAAAGTTTTAAAAATGAATATTAAAAATTGTTTTTACATGTAACTGGGAGAAAATAAAATACTGAATTAAAAAATAAATTTTAAAAAAACCTGTGGGAAGAGAGTTGTCCAAATCTATTGTCCAAATCAGAGGGTTGTTAACCTTATTTTACTTATGAACCCTTCTCCTCTGTTGGGTCATTTTGTGTCTAAGTATGAATCCAGATTAATTTTATCTTTTCTGTGCTTTGGAAGAGCTATAATAAAATGCATCAACAAAATATCCTTTTTTCAATTATAACCCCCAGCAGGGGAAAATCCCAGTGATACATAAATTCACTCTGTGTCTTTCTCTATCTCTGCCGTGTCTGTATCTCTCTGTTGCTCCCTATGTCTTTCTGCCTGTCTTTCTGTCTGTCTCTCAATCACCCATTCATCAAGAACACCAAATACAGAAAACAAACAGTTAGCTTAAAGAAATGAGAAATGGGGTATGGACTCAGGGTAAGAGTCAGTGTTCAGTAAGGAACAGGGATGTGTAAGTTTCACCAGTTTCCTTCCTCACAACAGAGATAGCCATCATCATTCATTCTGCCTCAGCTCCCCATAGCCCCATATTGTTCACCTCCAGGCTTTTCCCAACATATCACTCATCCTCTCTTGTGTTTCTCTTCTGGAGGAATATGTGAAAGCACTTGGTCAAAGAGGCTGTGGAGAGGGGATGTAGCAGGTTCTTTTCCTCCCCACACTGTCCTGGCTGCAGTCTTTCTCCTCTTAGCACTACTACTGCATTTGCAGAGATCCTGAAGACCAGCCCTCTGTGTACATGTACAAAATTCTGGTCCCTTGAGAGATTTCAGTTCTCCCCTCCCCCATAGAACTAGAGGAGAGCCATCTCATTCATCATAGCATCAGCTCTCAGGGACTCAAGTAGGGGAGACATTGAAAGCATTTGTCAGCTAGGAGACATTATCTCCAGTGCCCTGTTACACTAGAACTGAATATAACTTCACTTCAATGAGGGAAAAGGTGGTATACTGGAAAGCACCCTGGACATGGTGTCAAGACACCTAGCTTTAAGTTCTAACAACATTTACTCTTTGTGTGACCATGGCAATTCACATTTCCTCTCTAAATCTAACTTTTCTCATCTGAAAAATGGTGATAACAGACTGCTCCATGGGATTGTAGTGAGAAAAATATTCTGTTAAGTGTTAAAGTGCTGTATAAATTCATATTAGTTTTACTTAGGTCAGGAAGAACAGGAATGAGAAATAAAACTTTCCTCTAGCTGACTCCCAGTTAGCTGAAATTTAGAATACTCCTAGAATGATGTTTATTCTGCCTGAATAAGCAGTATTTGTTCTTTTGGATAAAATGAATTTGGAACTTTCTTACATTGGCTTTGATTTCTGTTTCAGATGTTATGACATATGACATCATCAAATCTATAAAATGTATAAGGAGGATTGTCCGTGAACCCAAAGGCATTCGGGCATGGTATGTTTTAAATCGTTATAAAGAATAATTCATTTTCTCTTGTAATGGGTATGTTCAATGAGGAAGGATGCTTAAAGCCAAAATAAAGTCCATTCTAATATGTATGCTCTAGCAGCGACCACACTGATAGAATATATTTATACTTGCAATCATTAGTTACAATACTATATGTAACATGTTTGCCTACCAAGGACCCTAGGGTTAAGTGGCGCTGTTTTCTTTAAGCCTACAGAAAGATAGCATGTCATGGTAATTATCCAACAAAGTAGCACAATATTAGAATTTTCTACCTACTAGCTCTTTGCTTGTAAGTTACCTTTTCTGGGATATTCTAGAGAGAATCCTTTCCTAAGAGGCTGTAATAGCGGCCACCAAATATTGCTCAGTCTGAAGATGTTAGGGCTTGCTCCTCTACCTATTGCCAAGCACATACTGTAGCTGTGATGGCAGCACAAAGCAGCTTATATTTCATTTTGAACTCAGCCCATTCTGGCTGGGTCTGATCTGAAATTGAATATTATTCAAAATATTATAATATAAGGTCTGCTGTCTATACCACCTCATTAAGTCCTTACTTCTTTTGGTATCCATTCTCCCAATTCATTCCCCACTCCATTCCTATATTTGGAAATTTAGAATCCTATGATTATATAAGGAATATAGAACAGAATAATACAGAGTAGAATAAAGAAGAAAAAAAAAGGAACTAGCCCAATATATTCATCTCCAACCACCTCCTACTTGTCCTGCAGGATCTCTTGGTGCATTTGGGGGAAATCTCAATAACACTTCTTTATGGTAAAGGAGTAATAGTATGGGCATTCTCTCTCCATCTTAGACTCATGACTAAAGAGAAATCAGCTTCCTACCTCCAAAGCACATGCTTTTCAATTACATGAAAGTCTTAGTTACCCGAGAGTTTTTCTCCTAATCATTCACAATTTCTATTTCTTCCTCACTATTGGGACCTCTCCTGGCCTCCACTTGTTTTAATCTGCCTCGTGTTCAGGTCTCCTCATGGAGTCACAAGCTCTTTTCAGTGCAGCTCACAGTTTCTGTGCCTCTCCATATGTCTACTCCCTTGCTCTCTCTTCCTGTTTCTCTCCTGTCCTGATAGTCTAGACATCAAGGTCAACAGAAGGAAGAAAAGAAGTGAAAAAGAGATTAATGAATGTACAGTTAGCACCACTTATCTTTTTGCCATGCTCATCACCCCTCTCCACACAGATTGTGACAAAAAAAAAAAGTTTAAGAGACATAATTTCTGAGTAATTAGTCATTTTATTAATTATGCTAGTGATTAATTAATAAAAAGATGGTCATCTGGCCATCTCCCATAAGCCAAAGACCCCTCATGGAACTCACTCAACACTTATATGCCCTTGGAAGAGGGAATGTTCCTGAGAATGGGAATCAACTCTGATTGGTTAACAAGTAATGACAGGATGAATATTACAATGAGAGGTGGGTTTATTCTTATGAGAGCCTGGGGGATGTGACTCTGATTATTCAGTCTTAGACAAAGAGACTTATCCATACCCATACCACCTCATCTAGGGTAATTTAGACAAAAGGGGGAATCCACTTCTACCCAGACCTGTCTGACTAAAACACAATAGGCCAGAATCCACCAATTCACCTAAACTAGAATTTCTTTACCTTTTAATCAAACCTAAGTTTTCCATCTTATTATCAACTCTACATTTCAAAGGCTGCCTGAATAACCTACAGGGGCTGATTCCTGATTAAGGACATAGAAAAGGGGAAAAACCTTAGTCCTATTTCAATAATTGGTTATTAATATGAGAGAAATGATAACTTCTCTCAAGTTAAAGGCAATGAATTTCCTGAACCAATAGCATCAGAAATTGTTCTACTGATGTCTTTCTCTCATCAAGGATCATCTCCCCAGAGTGCAAATAAAAACAACAATTTAAAGAGAAGAAAAGACAGGGACACAAGTTATATAAAAATCCATTTATACCATTTTTGTAACATTATTATAAGGGCCTTCAACTTTAAAAAATGGTAAGCACCTAGTATGTATAGAACACTGTGCTATGTGCTAAAAGAGATACAAAGATTAAATAAGATATGGCCCTTGATCTCATGGAGCTTATAGTCTGATGGGTGGATATGACATATATATGGATAACTATCACTGAAAATAATACCTAAGCACAAAAGTGAGATACAAACTAAGTCTCAAAGGGGAAAATTGTTACTGATTCCAGAGTTCACTGAAGGTTCTGGTGAAAAAGATGGTATTTGACCTGGACCTCAAGGAATAGATACAGAAGATCAAACAGTGAGAAATATAACATATTCCATGCATAAAGCATAGTCTAAGCAGAGTGGCAGTAGGACAGCAATAAGACATGTACAGGGAATAGGAGGAGTAATCCAGTATTTGAAATGCAGGACTTGAGGTAAGTAGTATGAGATAAATCTGAAAGTTTAACATTACCAGATCATGGAGGGACAAGAGCACCAGGTTGAGTTTGAATGTTATTTGGTGGGTAACAAGAAATCATTAAAGGACTCTCATGGTGCCATGCAATAAGATTTACTCAGATTCGTGCAACTTAGACTAACCTTCATTGATACCTCTCACGAATTGGTCTGTTTATTGAATCCAAGCCTACTACCTTGCTTTTTACCATTGGGTTAGGATATGAGACAGACCCTTTTGGTTCACTGCCTCTCTGCTATTTTTTGTGTGTTTAAATCTCATTCATTTATGTCAGCACTGTAGTTATGTCTCATCAATAATGATCGTTACATGTGGTGATGTTGTTTAATAACAGAATATCCATGTAAGAGTAAATTGACATTATGCACATTTAAATTAAAATACCACCTACTTTAATTTACTCAGACTCCAAAAGATGCATTCTTCCATGGTATGTCACAATATTTATGTGGGATGGGGAAAGGCTTCTTGCAGAAAGTGGTACTTTGCGACTTGAGGAAAGTCCTGGGAAGCTAAGAGGTAGAAATTAAGAAGGAGTTTTCCAGGCATGGGGGGCAGCCAGTGAAGATTTTCAAAATCAGCTGATGAAGTATCACATGAGAAGAACAAAAAGGATGTCAGTGTGACTGGAATGCAGAGTTTGTGAGAATATAAAAGGATGAGGTAGGGAATGTAATGTGTAAGAAGACAAGAAAGGTAGGAAGAAGCCAGGTTATGAAGGACTTTGTATGCCAAACACAGGTCTTTATATTTGATCCTAGTGGTCAGAGGGAGCTACTGGAGATGCTTGGAATGAGGTGTGGCGGTGGGGCAGGGGTGAGTGGGGTGACGTAGTCAGACCTCCCCTTTCGGAAGATCAATTTGATGACTAAGTGGAGGAAGAACTGAAGTGAGAAGAGACTTGAAGATGGGAGACCAAAAGGCCATTGCAGTAGTCCAGGTATGAGGTGACAAGGATTTGTATCAGAGGAATAGTTCTTCCCATATTATTAACTTACTTTGAATTGATTCCTTAAGCAAAGAATTATGTGCTTAATAGGTGTAGTTTGTAAAGTTCAGTTCAACAACAAGCAGTTCTCACATTCAAATTCCATGTCAGGCACTCTGTTAGATGCTTGAAATAGACCCTGTCTTCAAGAAACTTACAATCAAACAGGAGAGAAAAGACAGATATTCAAATGGCTGTGACACAAAGCAAAATGTATTAGGGTCAAAAGGGAAATTCAGGAAAAAAGAAAACTAGGTGAAATTTGAAGAGAGAGAGAACATTTTCACTTGGATGGATCAAAGCAGCTTCATGGAGGAGATAACACTTTAATGGAAAGGGGAATTTTAGATGGTGAAACTAGAAGGAACCTGGGGGACCCCATGACCATAAGCACAAAGATGGGTAAGGTCAGGACAAGATCAGGAAACAATGAGGAGTTCAGTTTGGCCAGAATATAGAATAATGGGCCTAATTTTAAGATTCTTACATACCAAGAATCACAAAAAAGTTTCAAACCTGGAAGAATCCTGAGAAATCCTATAGTACAAACTTATTTTACAAAAAAGAAAACTAAGAGCCAAAGTAATGACTTCTATTAAAACCTTTCTCTGTTTCTTATACTTTCTGTTTTGAAATACATACTTGTATATACATTAATATCTATCTCTGTATTCATACATATCAAATTACATATTAACATTGTCCCAAGTTTAATCTTGCTAACTTTTGCATTACTTGGTTTTGCTTTATTTTCAGGTTGGCATGGAAAAACCGTTGTCAAGGAAGAAATCTTTCCATATATCTCCATGGTTGCAAACTTTAAAATGCTGGATTTAAATTCTTCTGCTTATCTGGATCCCTCTTCATATGAAATAGCTTTTCAAGTGAAATGTCGTAACCCCCTTAAAAATAATTTTCTCAAATAAAGCAGAAAGAGATAATGATTTTTCAAAAGGATTAATGTTTAATGATAGTTTTATGTCCAGATACTTTTTTTAGATTGCTTTAGGGCATGGCTCTAGATTTTTACTTATCACAAAAATCTTTGGAATGTTCAATTTTGGAAGCAAACAACTTAGTATCATGAAGACAGGTATTTCACAGTTTTAGATAAGAAATATTTCCAGATACCACATCTTAAAATGCATGTGTAAGGTAAAATTGTAACCTGGCACTTGTAGTCACTTTTATTAACTGCTGAATAGGAAAAATGAAGAATGGATTTTTCTTAGGCAAGTACACAAAGTTTGAAAAGTAGAGACTTTATATTCAAGAATCTTATATGAATGGTATATAACATTTTACTCAAATTTTTTTCTAAGAAATGTTATTCTAGAGGGACATTCAGTGTTCATGGCTGGGTTGTGACAAAATAATAAAAATGACAAGGCTTCCAGAATTCAGTTATTGATTTACCTATGCCAATTCAAATACCAAAGGGATTACTTATCAATCCAGATAAAATAATAACAAAATGAACTTGAAGGAACAAAAAATCCAGAATACCAAGGTAAATAATTTTTTAAAAAGAAAAGAATAGCATTTCTAGACTTCCAACTCTATTTTAAAGTAAAAATCATCAAAATCATTTTATACTGGATAAAAAAAAAATAGAAAAATGGATGTTATGGGGATCCAATGAGCTAATATGTGCATGTTGCAGACTTTAAAAGTAGATCAATCGATAGACTAGACAAGGAAGAATCATAAATAATTGAATTCAATAATCTAGTTTCTAGTATTTGGCATATTACACAATAAATTCAAGATAGATACATGACCCAAATATTAAAGATAAGGCCATTAAAAATTCAAAGAGAAGCTGATCTTATACTTTTCACTGCTGTGGGTAATGGGTAAATTCTTTACAAGACAAGGGATAAAAGTTATTTAAAAGATGCAAGTCTTAATTACATGAAATTTTAAAACTTTTGCATGAATAAAATGAACACAAGTAGGATAAGAATGGAAGTGGTTGACTGGGAAATAACCTCTGTTGTTAAATATCTCTGATAAGGACCTAATATACCAAATGGGTAAACGACTAACAAAAACACATAAAACAGGGGCAGCTAGGTGGCACAGTGGATAGAGCACTGGTCCTGAAGTCAGGAGGACCTGAGTTCAAATCCAGCCTCAGACACATAACACTTACTAGCTGTGTGACCTTGGGCAAGTCACTTAACCCTGATTGCCTCACCAAAAAAAAAAAAAAGA